AGATCAGCAACTCTTCTTAGATTCATCAAAGAATTAAGGTCACAGGGCAAAACTACTGCCCCAAATCTGGAAAGGCAAAGCAGATAAAGGGAATCACAGCTTACCAGGAGCAGTAAGAAGCCTGCAGCTAGAACCAATATCACAGCTGGAGCCAATATCAGTAAGAAGACTTTAGCCTGTAACTGACTAATTGTTGTAGGCTCCAGGTAGACTAGCTAGCTTGTCAGTTTAAAACTCTGAAGAGGCCCAGTATTAGGGGCACCCTACATTCTTGTGAGTTTACCACCAGGAAGCCCATTGCTCTCTCTAAAGACTAGAGAAAAAGTCCTTTGTAGTTCAGGCAGGAGGAAGGCTAAAGTAACCATTTTGAAATACATTGAGAGCTCTCTATTTTCCTTAATAAGGCCTGCCTTCAAGAGAACCTGTTTTATCCAGAGCTTAACCTACTAGGGTTTTACTAAAGATTAACCAGCCTTGGAGAAGAAAAATACCTAACTTTGGCTCACTCAAAGACTGTTACCGGACCTTGAAATAATCATGCAAAGTGAAATAAGCCAGACAGAAAAAGTTGAAAACCACACGATATCACTTATATGTGGGATATAAACCTGAAAGCAACAAACAGGACAATAGACTAATGTTTACCAGAGGGTAGGGCGTGGCAGCAGGGGGGAGGTAGATGGGGTCAAGGGGGTCAAGTATGTGGTGACAGAAAGAAATCTATCTATGGGCGGTGAACACACAATACAATATATATATATATGCCTACTGTTGAATCGTATACCTGAAACTTACTGGATTTTGTTAACTAATGTTACCATAACAAAATAAATAAATACATAAGTAAGTAAGTAAATAAATAAATAAAATAATATTGTTCTAACTATGTATGGTGTCAGGTTGGTGACATATTGGGTTGATCATTTTGTAAGATATATAAATATCTAATCGCTTTGCTATACACCTGAATCTAATATAATATTGCATATCAACTCTAACTAAATTTTTTTTATTTTAATGAAGATTAATAAAGATAAAAAAAAACATAGAACTACCTTATGACCCAGCAATTTCACTTCTGGGTATCTATTTGAAGAAAATCAAAACACTAATTTGAAAAGACATATGTACCGACTACGTTCACCGCAGTGCTATTTACAGTAACCAAGCTATGGAAACAAACTAAGTACCCATCAATAGAAGACTATATAATACAGAAGTGGCTCATATATCCATTGGAATATTACTCATCCATAATAAAATGAAATCTCATTATTTATAATGACATGAATTGACCTTAGGGGTATTATGCTAAATGAAATAAGTCACACAGAGCAATACCATATGATTTCATTGATATGTGGAATCTAAAGAACAAAAGCAACAAACAAAATGAAAACAGTCTCATAGATACAGAGAACAAACCTGTGATTGCCAGATGGGAGATATTTGGGAGGCTGAGTGAAAAATGGGAATGGATTAAGAAGTACAAATTAGTAGTTACAAAATAGTTACAGGGATGTGAAGCATAGGGAATATAGTCAATAATATTGTGATAACTACATATAAAAACATAAAAATGGAAATGGAAATCATAAAAGTGAACCAATCAGAAATGAAGAACACATCATCTGAGATGAAGAGTATTATTAGATGGAATAAACAGAGTAGATAAAGAAGAGGATCGAACCACAAGAAAGAGGATGGGAATGTGCTCATTTCGGCAGCACATATACTAAACTTGGAATGATACAGAGAGAATTAGCATGGCCCCTGCAGGAGGATGACACACAAATTTGTGAAGCGTTTCATATTTTTAAACTGGCAAAAAAAAAAAAA